TGGTGGATGGCTTCTCCCAGCCCTACCTGCCGCTCCCGGAAGCGCCGCCCGAGCGTGCGCAGGGGGACTCGCTCACTGTCTACTTGGTCATCGCCTTGGCCTCTGTGTCATCGCTCTTCCTCTTCTCTGTGCTGGTGTTCGTGGTTGTGAGGCTGTGCAGGAGGCGCAGGGCGGCGCCGCTGGGTGTCTGCTCTATGCCTGAGGGCCACTTTCCTGGACACCTGGTGGATGTTAGTGGCACTGGGACCTTGTCCCAGAGCTACCAGTATGAGGTATGTCTTGCTGGAAACTCTGGGTCTGGTGAGTTCAAGTTCCTGAAACCAATATTCCCCAATCTCTTGCTTCAGAACACTGGGAACTAAGGAAAACCCCCAAATAACTTTTATAGTTTTGTATTTAATTAATTATTGTATTTGTTTCAGTTAATCTATTAATCTGGGCAACTATTCTTACAATACCTTTCTCAAATATTGATAGCACTATACCAACAATATTCTTTCTCTGGTAGTGCTTAATATATTTTTTTGTGTATGGTTGGTATTCATTATAATTAGCATTTAAATGACACTATTTATGAGTATGTGTTTTCTCCCCATTTGACCTTCTTGGTGAATACTATTTATCTAAGTAGAAATTACTCAAATAGTGCTCAAATTTTATTTTTAGCAACTTCTTAAATTAGTTAATATTAAAGCTTTTATGAAACCTTGAATTGTTATTACTTGTAGTGCCAGTGTTTACCATATAACTTCCTCTTTCAGCTCTAGAGTGTTTGAAATTTTGTTTTATTTCATTGGTGCTGGGTATAGATGCTCAAATTTCCTGCATGCTAATCAAGCACGTATTCCACTGATCTTGACACCCAGGTGAAATTCTTTATATTTATCTTGGCATTTCTCATTGAGTACACTACCAACTTAAGCTCTCTGAAGAAATGTAAGCATGATACTTAGCATAATTTTTTTCTCCCAAATTGTATATAAATATTTACTTTGTTAAAATGTCTCTATACTAAAACTGTGGCCTGTTATGAGCAACACATKTTAGAGATTATCTTAAACATTTGGTTACTGCATATCTACTGCATTATATTTTCATAAACATTAATATTAAATTAAAAATAATTCTCATCTACAAATACTAAAGAGAACATCTTTGTAATGTCTTATTTGTTTCACTAATGAAACTGTTAAGGGGCTGAGGGCATGACCCAATGGTAGAGCAGGCATGCATATATGCTAAGTCTGGTTTCAATTCCCAGCACCAAAGCAAAAAAAAAAATTTTTTTTAGAAATTCTGTTAAAGAACATCTTGGTATAATTCTTTAAAAAATAATCTTAGAATCTGAAATAAGCCCGAAGCTTCTCCAAAGAATTTGGGACTCCTGAGGGCATCCTATATGTTCTTACCCTTTCCTTTTGGCCCATAAATACAAGTTTAAGTGTAGGAGACTTTTGTTTGTCATTGTCACCACTAGGTATGCACTAACCAAATAAGTAATGTAATATCTAACATCATATATTAAAATAAGTAATATTTTATTTCTGAATACATTGGAACAGTAATTAATTTACCTGAATTATAATTGTTTTTGTTGCATTCAATAAGCCAAGTAGGTGAATTATGTGATTTATAACTAGTAAATTTATATGAATAAAACTATAAGAAAATTTCTTTGGAATTTTGGCAAAACATGAACAATTGAAAAGCTTGCTATAATCTAAACACATTTGTGTTTTAATCTCAAATATCATTCTACTGGAGTTTACAGTACATGAATTTTTCCCCCGAGTTACTCTTTTTTTCCCCTAAGGATAAAATGAAATAAAAAAGGTAAATTACTTAACATTTGTTATTCTTGAAATATAATTTTCCAATTTAAGTTAGGAAGAGAGAAAAGTGAGAAAAGAAACACAAACATGTAAGATACAAATATAGAAGTCAATGGTAACGACTTCTCCATTTATTAGAAATTTAAATTAAATAGTTTTTATTTATGATAATAAGAAATAGGGTTGAAGGTTTTACCAATATATTGCAACACAAAAAAATCCAAGTTCATTTTTGTTTATGCTAGGTTAGTCTAATTTATATAATCACCTAAATGACACTGGACAAATAAACACCCATTCCACTTTATCCTTAGAAAAAGAATAGATCATTCCTTACCAATAAGAGCCCATTACAAGGCTACAGAACAGTTCAACTTTTTGATTCACTAATTGGAATTTAGCAGTAAACACTGTAAAATTTCACAACATGATATACCTCATAAAATGTGCCAGTTTGATGGCCACAGGAAAAAAAATAGAGAATGGAAGAAAAATATCTTAATAATAAYACCCATTTAAACATTTTTTGTCTCTCAAATATACACAACTTTTGTAATTCCTTTGCTGTTGTTTTAGGCACAGCATGTAGTGAGTTCAATGCATTCTTTTTGGGAAGCAAATAGCACAGATCACTCAGATTGTCTCTTCATAATCAAAAGTTGCAAAAATGTATTTTTTAAAGTGTTAAGTTAAAACTCATGAATACATTTGATGGAATTGTGCTTCCAGGTTAGATGGATTATCTGGCAGCAAAAAGCAACCATGAAAATTGGCTAAATATCAGAAATTACCTCTCTACATCAACAGAGGTCAGATGATAGGATAAGAAATGAGTGGCTCAGGATTTCTGAAAAGAATGCTTTGGGATGAGAACTAAGTCCTACAGTCAGTTTTCTTCCAAGGAAATTTGCTAAGTCAGGAAACAACAGATTCTTAACAGGGACAGACTAACTTCCATAGCCTTTAGTAGTCTGTAAGATTCAAGCTCAGGATCAGTTTCCCCATTCAGGTCACTTGTCAAACTCAGCACATTCCAGGGCAGAAGTCTAAAAACCTAAGTGGAAAATTCTTAGAAAGCAGGATGAAATCTTCTTTACTATTTGAAGATTAGAGTTTGGGATCTGCCATGAGAAGAGGCATAGAAAATATACCAATTTTTCAATTGACAATTCTGTAGACAAGGTACTTTTTAGGATAGTAAGGAACCTTGACTAAACTAAGTGCCTTTCACTTTAGCCCAATTTGACTAGTTAGAGTTCTATCAGGCCAACAGAGGAAAAAGTGAACCCTCCTGGTTCAATATCACTTTGATCCTGGACATCTTTTTACATAAATATCGAGAATTCAGTAAAAAGTTACAAGCCATCTACACACAAAACTGGATGATCTGAGTAAAATCAAGAGAAAAAAACACAAAACAAATGACTTCCAGATAATCTAGATAGTAGAATTAATGWTAGAATAAGCATGAACAATAGAGAAAATAGACRTAAAGAGAATTTCACCTGACAATTGAAATCTTAAAATGGACACTCATTCTTTAGCTGCAAAATTATAATATTTGATGTAAAACTGTTGAAATAGTTTAATGTCATAGATATAAAAGACTACAGGATTAGTGGAAGTGAGACAGATCAATATAAAATATTCAAATAGGAACCCAAAAATAATGAAAAACAACATTAATGAAAAACTCAAACTTACATATGATTATAATCCTAGAAGGATAAGAGGGAATAGAGTGGTAATAAGCAGTATTTGAACAGTTAATGACCAAGAATTTTCCAAAATTGTGTCTTTAAGTCTTCAAGATACTTAGAGAAACCCAATCAGGATAAAAATTTTTTAAAAGTCCAAAAATCAAAACCAAAAGTCAAGATACAAGTCAAAGAGAAAAAAAAATCTCAAAAGCTATCACCTAAAATATCACATATTACTTTTAAAGAAGCATCGGTAAAACTAACCTTCAACGTGTGTGCTGAAACCAAAAGAAAAAAGAATAGCTTTTAAAGACAAGAAAATTATTAATAGACTATAATTCTATCACCAGCAAACATTTCCCTCAGCAATGAAGTTGTCAAAGAAACAAAAACTGAGAGAATTAATCACAGTCACACCTGCACTAGTAGAAATACTTCCAGTGGAATTCATTTAGGCAGAAAGAAAACAGTTCTAAAAGGATCACAGATTTGCAGGAAGAAATAAAAAGACAGGAAGGGTAAATATAAATGAGTATTGATTTAATGTTGATTATACTGGGCACTATTAGTAGTTTCTTTAAGGATTTAAAATATGCATTAAATTTAAGTTCATAACAACAACAACAATGTGAAAGGTAGAGGCACAGATTTGGGGAGTCCTAATGTTTTAATTAAAATTATGGTGATATTCAGATCAATAATTTCTATTAGATTCTTATAGTTCAAAGATCATGCTGTGATTTCTTGAATAGCCTCTTAAAGAATAACTAAAAAAACTATTTGATGGGAAATTTTTATATAACAAATATTTGAATACCAAAAGAAGAACAAAATTTCTGGGATAAGTAAAAAAATAATTAGATGTTAATTATAAATGGGAAGATATCAAATATTACATTAATAATACAATTAAGCTAACAGTATTGTGCCGATGTCTTGGGGGGTACCAGAATCAGGAGGCACCACACAGCTTTGTAGGTTCAAACAGCAATTCTTTATTCCBGATCTCACACCAGCCTCCACACACGTTCAGGGGCAGTCTCATTCTGCCCTCATAATTCACCTACTCCACGAGGCTTTTTCCAAATCCCATTTTAATCTCATGAGAACTCAACAGGAACAAGCAGCAGGAACACCCTAATCCCAGCAGCAATAATCTTCAACCTCTAACTCTTCCCTAAAACCCATATTCTTAAACCGGGAAACGCCTTAAACCGGGAACACCCTAAACCCAAGGACCAGGATACTTCCTCAAACCTGCAGGATACTTCCTCAAACCTGGATCACCTTGAGCAGGGTCATCTTACTAAAGCACACAAGCAAGGTCGCAGCAAATTTCCAAGGCAAGTCCATTTAACATGGGGTACACTGGCAAGGATTACGATGCGTCAATACCTACTTGGTAATGGCCCTCAGCAGTATTGTACACCAGATTTAAGAAAAACTCAATATTGCTATCATATGTATGTGTATGTGATAGAACACAGAAAATTGAAAGTTTAAAAATGAATAAGGTATGTACTACAAATACTAGCCTTTTAGTGTAGCTATATTCGCAAAAGACCAAGGAGACTTTAAGGAAAGATATATTGCTAGGAAGAAAGAGAGATGTTTTATAATAATATGAAAATATAACAGAAATATGTGAGAAATATTTCCCCATAAGAAATATTTTTACTACAGAGTAAAAAAAAAAGTCAAATTGATGAAGTACAAATGAAAAGTAGACAAACCACAAACCTCTAAATTCTGATAGAATAAGAAGACAAAACACATATGTGCCCCTGTATATACACACATACACACATACAAGAATATTGAAGATATCAA